ATAAATTTGGTGCCAATTAAGAAATAACGATAATCGTTATTTCGGTCTCGAGATAAAGTAAGGCCTTCCCAAACCGATGGATCATCCCGTGGTAGTCAAAGAGCCTGGTGGCAAGTATTCTCCTGACTTATTGAAAGCTTGTGAAGATCACTTCAGTAGAATTTACCCGGACTATGTTAACGCTATAGATCATGAAACTGTCATGTGTCCACCGGCATTTCCTTTCGAATACATAGCTCCAACGGGAGAGGCTTCAGGAGCAATTCCCCTTTCTGAAATCGAGAAAGTGAATATTGACGGAGATAGCGCCGAACTCGAATTGTTCTACGTGTTGGAAAAGTTTGGGAATGAAACTAACCAACCGATGTTCGTTGTACCGAAAGTAAAATTTGCGAAGTTCATCACAAATGTTATTCGCCAAAAGGTGCCGCTTGATCGTCAGGCTAATCTGGGGAAAGTAAACTTTAAGGACGCCGAAATCGACTTCGCGATTGTGCATCATCACATTGGTGTCATTCTCATCGAAGTGAAATCAACAAGAAAGTTTTCTAAGTCACTTCAAGGGAAAGCACGAAAACAGCTTCAAACTAGTGAGCAAATAATTCGGGCCCTTTTGCATGTTGATCATAGTGAGGAAATTTCTATTCCTGTCTATAAGGTAATTGCCATGCCAAACGTAAGCGAACCTGGTCGAGGAAATCAGCAGTGTATCAGTCTTCGAGGAACTGATATTCGCGCGAAAAGCAGTTTCACAAGCTGGTGGCAAAGTAACTTTGTTTCAGTGGAATTTGTCAGCGACGAAAAGCAACAACTTCAAAAGCTAATAGCCATTTTGGTTGGCCAGAATTGCAATGTCAGCTCCAAAATGCTGTCGGATGTTCATGAGAAGATTGACAAGCAGAGCTTTCTCCGAAAGAGCCATGAAAAGTGTGCTAAGCAGGGTGGGGACGGGCCGCAATTGGTCGTGAAAAGTGCTGATCAACCAGGGCAGAATATCCTAACAGCAAAGTTTTTGTTTCTGAACCTCGAGCAGTTACGCATCTGGAATGGACCACGGAAACAGTTCTTCAACGGTTCATCTGGCGGTGGAAAAACAATTCTGCTTCAGTTCAAAGCTTTAGAATGCGCTAAAAAGAAAAAAGAAAAGGTGATGATCGTGGCACCCTCTTCACTGACTAATCTTTACAAAGAGTTTTTCGAGGACAATATGGACGACAACATTTCCAGTAGAGTTACTGTTTGTTCCCCTCCTGAGTTTTCCAAGCTTCTCCAAAGAAGAGATCTCGAAGGTGATCTGGCGAGCAATGCTGAAAGGGATCCCGGAAGTGATTTTTCAAGCAGTACCGGAAGTAATTCCCCGAATTCCGCTCAAAATGGTTCCGGAAGTGATCTAGAAGAGTTTCACTTCTTTGTTGATGAAATGCAGACCTTCGAAGCCGAAATTTCAGACACGATAGAACTGTTGAAGAAACTTCTGGACCAAATCAAAGATCGAGATCGTTATTGTTGGGTTGCTTATGATTACATGCAAAGGAATGAACGCGTTGTTTCTCAGGATGTAACAGGAGGGCTGTTCAGCGCAGCAGAAATTCAGAATAAAGCGCGGGAGCTCTGCAAAAAGTTCGACGTTTTTCACCCTCCTTGCATGAAAACGGTAATGCGATCTACCTTTGAGGTTTACAACTTTGTTCAAGCGTTCGCAAAGAAGTCCCTTCTTGGATTATCACAGAGATTAAACCAACCTCAATTTGATCGTATTGAACAAAAAACAAAGGAACTATTCGTTTCTTTTGCTGAAAGATACGATGTCTCAAACTATCTTGGCCATCACGTTTGTGGACCATCTGTTTCAGTGTTTGAGAACTCTGATTTTAATTTCATTGCAAATGTCATAGAGGACGAAGTCAAAAGGTGGACAGAAAGTGACTTTCTACATCAGGTCGCTGTTCTTTTCACTTCATCCTTCCCCAGAGAAGGCTTGTCTCGTCTAATGACACAAAAGGGGATTCCAGTTTGTGATGTAAACAACAGTAACAGAAATGCGGTAGTATTGGATTTTGGACACAACGCTCATTCATACGAATGGCGAGTGGTAGTGGCAATTTCCTGGCTCAATGATGAACTTGCCAGTAATTACCTCATGTTTACAAGGGCAGTATCGCGACTAGTGGTGATAACCACAGACGAGAAGATGTTTCCTCATAATCACCTCGGCAAGCTTCCAGACTGAGTAATGTTCAGAGCTTACATTCCTTAATTTCAGAGCTGGTTAACATGTTACGAGTTCTATACATTACATTTTGTGTTGCACTTTTCCAACAAAATCAAGAACATTACCTTTTTTTTTTTGGTCTGTCTAGAACTCTTAAGAAGTCTTAATTTCGAAAGGAAATGAAATGAATTCTCACTTTGGAAAGTTACTGAAGCTTCCCATTGAAAAATCAATTTCTGAAATAATAACATTATATTTAGTTGCTTATTTTTGCGTAGAAGTAGAACTTGTAGCTTTGGGTGTCCATCTATGAGGAGACGGTGATCGCTCTATTAGTAAGGTGAATCTCGTTAGTGCACTGCGCATCCTGTACCGCGCATAAAAATCACGTAATCAGGCGAACAAGCGCGCGCATTCCGAGAACACGGTGTTGTTTTTCAATGGACCAGGTAAAGATATGGCTAAAAGCGTGCACGAAGCCTGTTTCTCGAGGATGCAAA